GTGGCCATCCCCCCTGGGGGTGATTTCTCGCTTTCTGTCTCTCTGTCTCTCTCTGTCTTTCTGGCGAGTGCACGCGCCCTATAGCGAAAACCTCTCAAAATAAGAAAGCTAAGTGGAGGGGCCGCTGGTGGCATGGTGGCCAAGATGCTGATCTCCCACGAGTCCAGGACCTGGTGGCTTGGTTTCTTACTCTTCCTTTCTCTATCTCTGGTCAAATTTAAAAAATGATAATTAATAAAATAAAAATAAATAATCCTAAAAAAAAAAAATAATAAAGTGAAATGGAGCCAACAGCAGAGTCCGCAGCCCAGGCCGATCTGAAGTGCTCCCTGTCCCCATCATGGCGGCCAGTCACCTGGTACTCTGACGGGCAGCTCAGCACTCCCTCCTCCTTTCCTTACCTGGGTTCTCCCCTGTAGCCCTGACTTCAGAACCCAACTCCCTGGCCAGAAGGGACTGCATGCTCCCACCAGCAGAGCCTGCACCCAACACTTCACACCCATCCTGGCCTCCCACAAGCCTGCAGGCCCGCATCCTATGGATCAGGGCACTGAGCCTTGGGCAGGGTGAGACCTGCTGCAGGGCCAGAGCTGTAACTGGCATCAGGCCTCCCAGCTCCACGTCTGGGAGTTCCAGACCACCAGCCCAGACAGAGGACAGTGGGCCAGCCTCAGATGGAACTGACCAGGGGAGCTCACTGGCCCGCATCCCACCTAACTGAGGCCGGCCCACTCAAGGAGTACACTGTGGTCCTTCCAGTCAGCCAAGGGTGTGTGCTAGGATGGAGCTGGGGGCTGGGGCTGGGAGTCACTGAGCCCTGGGCTTGGCTTTGCCTACTTTGGGAGCCATCAGAATGGACCCCTTCCTTCCCTGCAGCCATGTTTGCGCTCACAGAGTGCTCCATGGAGGCCCCACCGCTACCACCAATCTGAGCTCTCTGATTGGAGAGCCCTGATCTGACCCTGGCCCTTGGGAAACAATGGAAAGACTGAGGCCCAAGGAGAGACCTGGACTGATCTGAGGCCAGGGGACTCCCATCCCAACCCGGCCGGTGAAGACCCGACCATGCAACACGGTGCCGCCCACCTGACGTTCTGGTGCCGCTTGACGTAGAGGCTGTGGAAGTTGTTGTCGGGCAGGTAGCGCCGATCCCCGCGCTCCTTGAGCCGCTCAATGATGGCCAGCTTCATGCCCATGGAGATGTGGGCCGGCAACACGGAGAGCAGCAGGTTCTCCTGGGCACAGAGAGCAGACTGTAAGGGAACTGGCACGGGGCATGGGCTGGCCTGGCCCATGTGGCCTCTGTTCTCCCTCCCTCCCACCCGCAGGGCCCTGTCTCCGCTGGCCCAGGTCCTGCACCTAGCAGCCAGGCACGCGCCCTCTGGCCCCTGGTTACAGCCAGGCAGTGTCTGGCACACGCTCTTTGCACAAGGCTGCGCAGCGAGCCTCTGAGGTCCCACAAGGGAGGATAGGGGCAGGGGCGAAGGGTGAGGAGTCAGGGGCTGTGGAGGCCAGCTGCGGCCCACCTGCTGGCGCTTCTCGATGCGCAGCTTCCTCCGGATCTGGATGCACTTCACGGTGTAGGTGAAGAGGTCTCGGGAGGCGTCCTGCATCTGGTGCTTGTGGAAGGCGCCGGTGAGGTTCCCGCACAGGAAGATGACCACGTTGGCCAGCAGCTGAGGGCGGGCCAGAGCCAGGGCTCAGGTGGGCACTCTTCCCGGAGCAGGCAGGGAAACTGAAGCCCAGACAGAGGCTGGCCTCCTAGGGAGTCTCCAAGGCTCCAGGACCAGGACTCAGGCTGTGTCTGTACCCACAGTAGGATTTGGACACCAGAGGCTAGGGAAGCCAGGCCCTTCCAGGGGAGCAGATGCAGCCACCTCACAGAGACCAAGGGAGCCCCAGGGCAATCACGGAAGACACAGAACGCAACCGGATGCCCAGGGCTCCAGCCTGGGGCCCTGGAGTGGACACGTAGGCACAGGCAGGAGGATACATCCCCAGGTCTCCGGTGACCGTGAATAAATGGTGTAACCACTCAACACAAAGGCACCAGACACTGTGCCATGAGAACTCCCCCAGTCCAACCAGAATGGGGACTCTGAGGGCAGAGAAACCCAGGGCAGGACTCACACCACCACAGTGCGGCAGAGCTGGGAGGAAGGGCCAGCGGGGAGGCCAGCAGAGGAGGCCACAGGCAGGCCCTGCCCACCGTGAAAGCCTGGCCTTCAGGCCATTGTCTACAAACCTGCTCCAGCGTCTCTGGGTCCAGCTCACCCACAGGGGCCTGGGCTGCCCCTAGGCCCCAACCAAGCCCCTCAAAGGCTTCGGCCTGCCCTCACCTGCAGCCCCTTCGAGATGCTGGGCTTCGTGAAGGCCCCCATCAGCACGCCGAGCACCAGGAGGTGGAAGATGGTGGAGACGGTACCCGCCATGATGGCTCCCAGCATGCTGAAGGGCAGCAGCGTGTATACCACGAAGACGACGAACAGGAAGTAGGGCACCTGGGGACAGTGCAGCATGGGGCTTAGGTCGGCCCAGGACGGATGGCCCTGGTGACAGCCCCTCCATCCTAGGGCCCTCCATCCTCGGTCAACCCTCACCTCTCCCCTGTGTGGCAAGACCCAGAGACAGACACTCCGAAACAGGGCAGCCAAGCCAGCGTGGGCCAGCGTCCTGTATGTTGGCTTACTGTGTGCAGCCAAGACCGAGCCACCCCAGGGTAGGGACTCCAGGCCCCTGTCCCCCAGGGAGCCCCTGCATGGCGCCCCTACCACGTGGTTCCCCTGCACAGGTTCGTAACTACCGTACAGCAAGGCAGGGCCTCTCGCATGCCGACTGCTGCTGTCCCTGCCTCTCCCCTTTCTGGGATAACCCCCTACCCCCTCCAGGCCTACAATCTATATAGTTTCCACGAGCTTCAGCCCCCACCATCCCAGTCACGGGATGGTCAGAGGACCCAGGACCACGGCTCAGAGTGTGCCACTGCTTCGTGACAGTGGACAGCCTGGAGCTTCTGCAGCCTTCTCTGCCCCCGTCTGGGAACGGCATGCCCAGGAATGAGACAGACAGCCCAGAGCAGAGTGTAGCATGATCGGGTCCCAGTCACCCTGCTAGAGCTCCAGGACTGACCCTCAGCCTCCCGGCACAGGAGCCATTCTGTGCCTTCTGACTCTCCAACCAGAGTCCTTTCACCTCCCGCCTAACGAGGGTGCTCCCAAAGCATCTCGGCAGACATCCAAGCGGACGCTC